CTTTCACACACACGCAGCCGAGGCAGAAGCAGAGGAGCTGGGAGAGCTAGAACCTAGAGTTGTCAACGCTTTGCGAAGAATTTCGTCATTGAGCGGTGTACATGTGTACGAATGTGTTGTGTGTGTGTGGTGCGTGCCTCGCTCGCTGTGTGTGTGTGCGAGAGTGCGTGCGTGTGTATTGGTAGTTTGTTCTCTTCTTTGGTAGTAAAACACAAAAGAAAAATCATCGGGGAAAAATGTGAAAAATGTACATAATTCGTAACCCAGTCTGCGGCAAGTGCTCGCCAGCCAGTGCCCGAAAATCGTGCTGAGATGAAACACCGCGCACCGATTGAAAAACTATTACATAAATAGTGCAAAGTGTAAATGTTATTGAAGGCAAAAAAGCAGAGCAGCGTATGAAAAAAGCGCCGCGCACGCTGTCGTCATCGCTGCTAAAAAAGAAGAAAGCGAATAAGAGAAAGATAAAGACACCCCCATCCCGAAAAGCAAAAAAAAAGAAAAGAATGAATTACTAAAAGCCCCAACGCGTTACTATTGCCATGCCGAAAAGTGTTTAAAAAAGTATCCGTTTGTGTGGGTGTTCGCCCTGCTCTTTTGTACATACTCCAGTGATGAATGATGTATGGATGTACAATACTATACATGCCATGAACTTTTTGTTAATACTGTAAATAAACTAATAACATTTAATGCGTGCCAGTGTGTGTGGGTGTGGGGAGCACGGCCCTGCGCCTGTGTGAGTGACCTCGTGTGCGTGTGTCGCGTGCTCCGCTGGTGTTGGTGTATCTGCCAGTGTGTGCGAGTGTATGAGTGCGGCGGCAAGGAGTGTCATGCGTATATTTTTCCTCCCACATCCCCCCTTTTCCGCCCACCCGTCCCACCTTCCCTTCCCCCTTTTCCAACACTGACCCACTGGCAAAGCCTATCCAACCAACAACAACAAAAACAATAAGCAGGCGGCAGCAGCTCCTTTGCTCCAACGAGTTTTATCTTGTTTTGCCGTTTTAATCATATGCGGGCGCAGAGAAAGGAGAAAAGCAGCTAGCAAGAGAGAGGAGAAGAGGAGAGTAGAGGAGACAATCACGTCATCCAGCCTGCCATGACACACCAACATCAACATCGATACAGTGAGGGCTCTCGGCTAATGAACAACGGCTCAAAATAGCTCAACTCACTCTCAACTGCGGTTGCTCCGGTGCTTTTTGCCAACTCAAATTCCGTTGCATACTTAGCGGATCACAAGCACAGTGGGGTTCAAGTCAGTGGCGTAGGCAGACGGGTTGTTGGGTGTTGAAGCACCCAAAAAAAATTGGTTTTGAAAACCCCTCTTCAACCAAAGCTTAGATTGGCCCCTGGTAAAATTTCAATATTCTACAATTGCAAAAAGCTAAATTTATTCAAATTTAATTAGTTATACATTTTCATTTTCAAAAATCAAAAGGTAGTTTAAAGTTTTTCTAAAAATAGAATACCTAATATCATGACTCTCATTTTATATTGACAATTGTTTATACTATTTTCAATAAAAGATTATTTAATCAAGAAAATCATAATTATTGATTTTTATTACAGACAAAACCCATTGACTCGAAATTATGTTTACTTTTCAATTCCGTTGAGCCAGTGGTCATTAGTTGACCAAATCAGATCCCAGCTGTTGGCCGCTTCAAAGCCTGTCTTTACTGTAGTCACCATCAATGACAACACCGACACACACACACACACTCATTTGAATGAACTTTATTGGCCCAATAAAGAAGAAGAAGCCAAGTTCTAGCTCGAGCGCGTGAATTCGATTGCGATGATGGAGTTCAGTCATATTTTTCTAAGCCTTTTAATTAAGGCAATTAAATTGGCACCTCTCCCCTCAGGAAAATGCCTTCGCCTTCTGCGCTTATTATTTAATTTTTTTGGGCATCCAAGTTCGATTTTTGGCCTCAGCTCAAAGCAGCATCGTCTGTGTGTGAGTGTGCCGCTTGAGAGCGAGTGTGAGTGTGTGTCTGTGGTGGGAGGGGGGGGTGCTTGAGCGAGTGTGCGAGAGAGCAAATAAACTGAGTCATGGCTGACGATGACGTTATGCTGCTGTTCTGTTCTGCTCTATTATATTCCGCTGCCTAACTTGCGGTTAAGGCAATTTGTCTCCAAAGTGTTTATGCTCAAAGTTTGCCAATAAAACGCGAAAGAAGGAACAAAACTTTGGCACAAATGCCCGCACACAACTACCATGGCATTTAGCATTCGATTGACCTCGAGACCAGCAGCAAATCGATAGCATTGTTTTTTGTTTCTCCTCCGAATCGATAACATGCCGCACAACCACCACCCACTCCGCCCCAAAAAACTCGGCTACGTAAACTAGTTTGTGTAGGATGCTATTACTCCATCATAAATCTCATTTTAGTTCTACTTAATTTGAAATTATAAGAAAATTGACAATAGATGAAATATCTTTTGTATACTAGTTATATCCCATTGGTTGTTAGATAGTCTTTTATTTTGCCATAAATTTTAATTTGAATCAAAATTACCGTAAAAATAGTTATCGCATTCTATATAATGGTCGTTTATGTGGTCGATAAAACATTTATTTTGTGATAAATTAAATTAGCTTGCCGAAGAAACAAAGCAGTTTTGTAGTTAGACGGAGACGATATGAAATTTAAATTATATGATACATTGAAATGAGATACATGGCACTTAATAATTGTTTTCCGTCTAGAAATTATATTACCATAGCGAATGATGGAAATTTAAAAACTTAAACGTGTAAATATTGTTTTTTTTTAGTAATATGTTTATTAATGCAAATAATTTGGTAGAAAGTTTTTTTTGTGAGTCCGTCAAATGTGAGCAATATGTCTTCAGCTATTTATGTGTTATCAATTTGCCGTAGCTTTGGAAATTTTATAAACTACTCAAAAAATACACGCGTTGTCGTCATCGAAATTGACTCTAAGTCTGATAATTCCTTAACTGTAATCTAAGGTATACATCAGTATATAAATAATGAGCTGTTTAAATTTGTTACCAAAACTTTGTATTACAAACGCCTCCCGAAATAACCAATATATCTTCGAGCTTTGATTTAAATCTCTTAGGATTGCAAATTTTGTACTATTAGTGTTTCAAACACCTCATCAAATACTATATACCTTGATCGTTACGCTCAGCGGGTAATGCAAACAGCTGATTTCATATTTGTTCTCGCAAAGTTGTAAAAATAAATACGGCTGACCAATAATAAATGCGAGACGAGACGACCCCCGCGTGCGCTCGCTCCCCCTGATCCCCCCGATCCACTAGCCAGGCCGAATTAGCAAAGTTCCCTGCCCGAAAAGATGGATATATATATTCATGTGCGAACCGCACAGAACCGCCCGAAACCAGTGCGGCAGTGCGAGCGGGACGGCAATGGACCAGAGCGGTCAGTTTGGACGGTCTGGGTCTTTGGGACTCTGTGACTGGGCCGCGGACATCTGACGTCGTTGTCGACCATGCTTCGCTATAATATAATATTATTATATCATGTGGCCAGGGTGTTGGTCGTGGTGATACGGACGGGAGCCCCGTATTTGTTCAAAGTACTGCATTGGGGTTTTATCTTAATGCGATATAATGAGAGTCTGATTCGTGACACGTTACGGAAACAGTTCTACTGCTGTTCCATCTGCTGATGCCCCGCACGTCGTCTGGCGGTAAACAAAATGCGAGCGCGCTATGATTTAGCTGTGTCAGTTTGACGGTTTTATTGCCAGAATTTTGAAAATTTATTTTCACTAGTTTCATTTGTTTTCCTGTATCTCACAATTGATTTAAAAAATGTTTATTTGTTTGTATGTTTTGTTTGGAAGGGCAACGGAGAAACATATCAAAAAACTAGAAATGATTGTTTTTAACATTTTCAAAAGTCAAAAATTATATTATAGTATTTAAAATTAGACAATTAATTTGTTAACAAATTAAAACCTCATAAAAAATGCTCAGCTCTGTTGAGTGTTTCTACCCCTCTTTTTCTTATCTTGTCCTCTTAGTCTGTGATTGTTCGCCCGCATTGATAAGGCTGGAAATAGTTGTTCTGTCAACGCATCCGCAATACGAAATTCTAGAAATAATAGATCTTAGGGTAGTCTTATCAGTGTTTATGCGGACGTCATGCAGTGAGGCAAACGGAATGTTATTTTGCTTCGATCATCAACTAATTGGCCGTAATTACTCCCCGACAGTGTCACTTGTGATCTGCGTACAATCATTGCTCGATTGCAATATAATATTCTGATTCTGTTCGTAGTGCTTTTATAGGGTGAATCAAACATTTAGGCAACTTACATTTAGAACAGTTAAGTTAAATGATTTTTCATATTGAATTGCCTACAAATATTATTATCCAAAAATCAATGGGAATTTTGGTATTTATTTAGCTTTATATCAAGCTACAGAAATTTTCAGAGGTTTCAATCCACCTAAAACGTTGATATTTGTAGATTTTGAAATGATACATTTTGTAGCATACTTTTTGGAACCTTTTCCTTGGTGTTTTTAAAACTTATAAACGGTGTGGATAAGATAAGGCCTGAAACTACAAAAATCTATAAAATAGGTAGAATGTGCACCTATGATAACCATAATCTTACCAATAGAACGTCGCATTCGACATAAAACAGTGGTATTCTTTTGGTCCAATTTTTAAGTGGTTTCAAAGCTCTAGGAATTGAATAATACATAAGTAATATTAGTGCAGGGTATCGTAATTTTGTGAAATTCGTTGGTTATTGATATTTTCTGTTCGCCATTTTGTGAAGCACTCGTAATCGGGCTGGTCAAGATAACGGCTGAACTATTAAGATAAGCTGACAAGTGTAGTATATCAAACGGAACCCAAATCACTGTGCGTCGGCGTCGCTGCCGCTGCGACGCCGGCCGAGGCAGCGACGACCGCTGCGGGGAAGGCGGCTACTCTCGTCCGTTGGTCATGTGTGCGGTTTCAGTCTGCTCGCTGAATTCGCCGCGTTCTGTTCTGTTCGCCTCGTTTTGGCCCGTTTGCCAAATTTCGTTCGCTTTTTGTGTTCCCGTTGTGCAATAACAACAACAGCAACAGTAACAACAACCAGTACAAGTACGACCACTACCTTGCCAGATTATCAACAACCACACTGGCCCATTGGCTAAAAAGCAGCTAGAAATTGTTGCTTTCCCTGTGAAAAACATAATTATTTGCTCTCAGTCTCAAGAATCTCAATGTATCTCTCTCTCTCTATCTATCTATCTTTCTGTCACTCTCTCTTGCTGGCCGTGTCTAGCCAGAAAAATAGTATTTTCGTCGTCAACGTGCCATAATTTCTTTTTTCTGTTTTGCCAGCAAAAAAATAGAATTTTTGGACTGGGACAAGTTTGAATCGCGTATGTGTGTGTGTGTGAGCTTTTCAGAATGTGCGTGAAAATAAAGCTGAGAAAGTTAGCGTTAAATTAGCAGGCAGAAAGAATCCAACAAACCCCTCGCCCCTTAAGTGAACAGCACGTGCTAAGCAGCAAAAAAAAAAAACATTGAAAAAGAACAAAAATTTGAAAATTTTATATTTAGTTGAATGTTAAATGTTGTTCGTTCGGCTTTCGTTTTGATTTGGTATTTTTTTTCGATTTTGTTGCATCCTTGATTCCGCTCCTCCCCTATTTTATCTTCTTAATTTTAATATTTATGAATTTTGCAAAAGTTTAATCTCTGTCTCTCTCTTTCTCCCGCTGTCTCTCTTCGTTTTTTTCTTTCTCTGATTTTTCTTATTTTTTTATTGTTGCAAAAGCATAAAATTAAAACCGAACAAAAGACACAACAAAAAGAAGAAGAGGAAACGCACGAAAAGTTTACCTTCAAACGAAAATAAATGCAAAATGAGAAATTTCTTTAACATTTTATTTGCGAAAATAGCTTCATGAATTAAGAACAAAATAGAAGAGCTGGAAGAGCAAAAAAAAGAGAAAAGCTGGTCTAATCATTAAATAGAAAATTCGCATTCGAGCAAAAACACCAAACGGAAGATCCAAAACAAACCAACCAACCAACAACATCAACAGCATCAACTAATATCAAATTAAATAACTAAGCCTAATAACGTATACATTTAAAGATCTATTTATAAATTAATATTTACCATAATGATTTAGTAAGTTAAGCTTAAAGTACAAAACAAAAAGAAAAGAAGAGTAAAGTAAAGTAAAGGAAAAAAAAACACCACAACCAACAAGAACCAACCAACAACCAACACAAATATTTAATCAATCATTAAACGGAGTAAATTCACAAATCTATAATAAATGCAAATGACAAGGAAATAACGAAAACGACTATAACAAAAAGTCACCAACAACAACCACAACCAACATCGGCAGCATAATTAATAACAACCAACAACAACAACGGATCAATACCAAAGATGGAGGCAAAATTCTTGGCTAGCGCTCTTTCATTCCTCTCGATATTTTTAGCGATTTATGCTCAAGCAACTGGTGAGTACAACCCCAACCAAATCATAGACAACCCCATACAATAAGCATAATGATAAACAAAGAAGTCCCTTTTAACCTATAAGTTGTCCCCCCATAATGCCCCCTTCACAAATATGTATGTATTTATATATGTATACCTACGTAGCACCCGAGGATAAAGGAATAAGAAAATACTTGCATACATGTATAGAAAACGTATGGGTAAACTGCAGCTGTGATAGCAAAAATTGCAAAACAGAATACAACCGAACCGAACAAAGCAAAACAAAGCGGGAAAAAACGAAGGGGAATAAATAAAAACAGCAGATTGTTTGTGGCTTACTATAACACCCAATAACCTTATCCCACGCCCCTAATTGCCCCACCGCCTAAAACAAAACTACACCCACACATGTCTGTATGCATGTACATTAGGGTTGTCCAAACATTATAATCATATTCTCCCCCTTAAGTGTGTGATATAAATTGATTAAAAAATTAAAGTTTTCTTAAAAATTACTCATACGACATGTAATCTGATAGAATTTATTCCAAAATTTATCGATTTCTCATGTCTAATCTTAAACTGACTTATTAGGATGAATTGCTAAAAAAAACCGATAAATTCCCGCCACCTAGATAAAAATAATGATTTTACGATAATGATCGTAAGAGTCAACAGTGCGTATGAGTGATAAACTTTGAGCGTAAAGCTTGGTTTTTTTTAATAATAGGTGTTTGTTTTTAATTTTCATTTAAATGTGGACCGCCCTAATGTTGACATGGGCGAGGGTCTTCCCCCAACCGACTTTTCCCCTTTCCAAGTTCACATAACTTCCAGGCACTAGCCACAATAGCGGAAGCAAACAATTTTAATAAGAGGTGACAGGAATCGATGGTGAAGATATCGAACATGTCGAGGAAAATCAATCATATTAAAATATAATATTTTATTTTCTTAGAAATATTTATCACTTCAGCAAAGTAGGGTTTTAATTTTCCCAAGAATTATAATTACGAAGCACTTAAAAAAGGCACTTTTAAAGATTTCTCAAAATGATGTCGAAACTTCTTATACAAAAATTAACAACTGTTCAGAACTATTTATATATTGAAATTTTTGTCGATTTTATACCAACAAATATTATTTGTAATTTAATAATAATTTCTTATTTGTTTTAAACCTTATCAATTATCAAATAATAAAGAAGAATTACGATTTTCTAATGAGGAATTATATATAACGTTGAAAAAAGATCTACGGCTTCAAAATAAAATCGGGTTTAAAAAGCAAAACATAAACATGAATGTAGAAATGGTAGAACGTCGATAATTCCAATAAATATTTTTAAAACCATACTTTTGAAATATAAACTTTTATATCGACCACGTTCTCTGCTGTGAAGAGAAGCACAAAATGGGCAATCACTTTTTTCTTTGTCCTGCTTTATGTATTCACTTTTCATATTGCAAGAGAAGCACCCTACCACCCACCCAGTCTCTCACTTTGGACAAGGTCTCTTCTGCATTCTACTGTTTTGGCCTTTGGTTAAGCGGACTTTGATATTTTCGTGTTGCTTTTTTAGTTCATATTGTTGGCTTGGTTGGTTGGACTTGGGATTGGATTGCTGTACTGTGCTATATCGACATTGTTGCTTATGTTTTCCCTCTGCCGCTTCTTCTACGTACGTTTTCCGTTGCTTTTCCCCTGCGCGCGACCGCATTCATTTGATTTTCAATTTTCCACACAATTGCTAAAAGAGAACGGCAGCGAATGTCGAGTAGAAAAGCGGAGGAGAAGAAGAGTATCAGTATCAAGTTCATTTCGGTTGTAGTGAGGGCAATCTTTAAGAATTTTTGTTTAGCTTTAAGGCTATTTTACATGCGGTCCAATAATTACGGCCTGTCTCTGCTTCTTGGCCCCTCTTGTTTATATTAACTTCAGCCGACCCGAAGCGAATCGGACTGAAACGAAACGATTTACGGATTTACCGATACCCACCCGATACCTACCCGATACGTACCCGATACGAACCGGCGGCGGCCTGCATTTTGTTTACATTTGGAACTGAGGAACCCACCTTCCTTTGGTCTATCTATGAGGCCCGGGCGGGCGGTTCCATCTATTTATTATTCTATGCATACTATCCATTTACCTATTCTACTTTATTCCATCCATCTATCCGTCCCGCTGAATGTCCGATCGTCTGGCTCACTACCAAAACCTACGTATGTTCATGAATTTTGATTTTTTTTCGCCGTTCAGTTTGGTTGGTTTTGTTTTGTTTCGTACATTATTTAGCCCCATGCAGCTATTTTCACATTCAAGGTGTATTAATTGAGTTTTTTTTCTTGCTGTTCATATGCTGGCATTTATTCATAGTTGATTGAGGGTATTCGGGCCATAAGCACAGAGGAGCCGATTAAAAGGCAGGGCGAATATAATTTAAGGTTATTTTCATGTCTTTATTAGGTTCTGTGATTGATTTATTCAATTATTTATACTTGCGCATCGGTTGGGTTATTAGAGCATAAAGAAAGTTAAAAATTGGTTCATTGGAAAATGTTTTTGTGCAAAAATATTGCCTATTTATAGGGTTTACCAATTCGTTAATTGTACTTTACTTAGTTTTCATTAGCCCTATTTGTGTTTACATATTTTTTTGGCTAATTCTCTTAAGTGTACCACATTTTCAATGATTTTTCAAATTGTTTACGTAAATAAGCATACGAAATTAAAGAAATTTCCAGGCACGTATTGAAGGAAAATCCGCATGGAAAAAAAGAAGAAAAGTGCTCCCTCCAGGGAGATAATGTGGGCGGCGGGGCAAACATTTGTATGTACATTGTGCATATATGTACGTATGTTTGCACTACATGAATCACTTTGAGTTCTGGGGGCGGGGGAGTAGCAGCCCGAAAACCAGAAAGCCAATATGAAGAAGCATTCCTTTGTCTCCCCGCTGAATTTTCCCCACACCACTTCAAAGCAATTTTCAGCTAGTGGCGGAAAAACCACGTGTTGTCCAGGTGTTTATGCTGCGGACGAATGTGCGAAGAGCCAAAAAATAATGCCGCATCTCCCTCATTCTGCCCCGAAGCTTGAGAATATTCCCTAGGTCTTGTCACATACATATATGTACATTTTCTTCTTTTTTTTTTGCGGAATATCCGAGCAGGTGGAATTCCTTGGCAAGTGCTTTCATTTCGGCTGTTGACTGCGCACATTTGGCTAACCAGTTTCATTTTGCCATGTTTATTTAATGACATTTTCATTACATTAATAAATGTCAAATATTTAAATTTCGGCTCACCCAGCAAAAGGAAGCTAAAGCAAACAAGGAGCGTAAAACGAAACCGATGCACAGTGGGATCAAAAGAGGTTGGGAGTGGTCAAAAATGTTATGGAATTTTTTTGGGGTTTAAAGGGATAGAAATTTAAAATGACATACCAAGGAACTTTAAATTTAAAAAATAAAATTTAATACCTGAAAATATATCTACGGGAATTTTAAAAAATAGTAAATTAAGATTCCTGAGGATAATTATTATTACAAAAGGCGGTATATTCATGTTATAAATTTGAACATTTCCTATATTTTAAAGTAGAAAGTGAATTTACCATCTCTTGATTTGGCAGGAACATTTTGGGTATAAATCATACCCCTTGATCAAAATCTCAAGAGGATTTCGCTTTAACTCCTTGAACTGCTAACAATAATTCAATGTTGTTCTCCTCTCCTTTGCTTTTGCTGCATTTGCTATAAAAATACATTACAAAAGGCACAGATTGTCTTGGGGTATCTGCATTTTGCATTGAATCCGAGATGATTTGTGGGATATGGAAGCGGTGGGGTGGGTAGGTGTTGTACAGGAGGCTATGGGTGTTTTGCCTCTTTTGCGAAAACATTATTTTTATTAAGACAATAAACATGAAATGTAATTTCCCTTTCAATGTCATCGTTGCCTGGCGTTGGCTTCAGTTTAGTTCAGTTGAGTTTGGTCTTGGATCGGGTTGGGTTTTGCGCTAGGGTTCGGGTTCGGTGGGTTGCTTTTCAGGACCACCCACACACACACACACACACACAGAGAGAAAGGCGTCATGGTGAAAGAAAGGCTTGGCTGGCAGTTTCTGTTTTCTATAGTGCCATGCTGCTATAGTGCTTCAGTGTGGGCGTGGCATTGGCTTGCACTCCCCCCGCCCACAATCGCCCACCATTTCTGATTGCACATTGTCTGGAATTCTGCGATTGCAGTGGAAAACTCTCTACCTCTGTCTCTTTTCGACTGGTTGTGGCACATTTTGCACTGTTCGTTCGTTTGTACGTTCTTTTCCTTTCTGCTTTTGCTTCTGCTGCCTCTTCTGTTCTTCTGACTCTTGTTCTTGTTGTTCTTTAATACAGAGGTTGCCTTGTGTTTCCGGTCCGTGCCAGATAATGGTTGCTTAAACAGGGCACGTCCATAAATATATATATATGCATTGTAAGTATGCATTGTACACAGAAAAAAACGAAGCTCAAGGCGGGCTTTTACTATTTAATTAAACTAAGTAGATTGATTGAAAAGAAATGCAAGGCCATTTACAATAATATGTTCACTGATTTTATGAAATATTGAAACATTGATAAAAAAACAATTTTTCTCTTTTCAAAAAAAAACTGGGTTTAACTTAATTTAACACCATCCTGAAAGTCGATATTATCTCCTTAATATATTAAAATGTATTTGATTTAATAAACATAGCACAGTCAGCAAGATTAAATACTCTTGAAATTACATTACATTATAATCTTCTAAGGCATCTTACAGTATCATCGTCGAGAACTGTTGCCAATTTAATTAAAAAGTCTAGTGACGCAAGATGAGAATCAAATTCTCATTTTAATGACGCACAATAGCGGAGTGAAATGGCCGTAAATCACAAAAATTTCGCAACCTTGACTTTCGAGCGGCCTTCCTTGTTTCGCGCAGTGTATGCATATGCGTGTGCACCTTTCTGTGATGCATTTTCCTGCTAATTG